CTCCTCCAGTTTTGTGTAATCAGCAAACTTGCTGAGGGCACACTCTGCCCCATCAAGCAGATCATTAATGAAGATGTTTAACAGGACTGGACCCAGTATTGACCCCTGGGGCACACTGCTAGCTACTGGCCTCCAAACAGACTTTGCACCACTGATCACCAACCTCTGGGCCCAGCCATTCAGCCAGTTTTCATCTGCATCACTGTCTGCTCATCCAGCCCATACATCAACAGCTTGTCTACAAGGATCTTAGGGGAGACAGTGTCAAAGACCTTACTGAAGTCCAGGTAGACAATATCCACTGCTTTCCTCTCATCTACCAGGCCAGTCATTTCATCACAGAAATTTAGCAAGTTGGTAAATCATGACTTCGTCTTGATGAAGCCATGCTGAATGTACCTGATGATTTTTCTCATCCTTAAGTGCCTGGAAATGGTTTCAAGGATTAGCTGCTCCATCACCTTCCCAGGGATCAAGGTGAGTCTGACCAGCCTGTAGTATCCTGGGTCCTCCTTCTTGAAGACAGGAGTGACATTTGCTTTCCTCCAATGTTTGGGCACTTCTCCCAGTCACCATGATCAGTCAAAGATTATCGAGAGTGGCCTCTCAGTGACATCTGCCAGCTCCCTCAGCACTCATGGGTGCATCCCATCAGGGCCCATGGAGTTGCTCAGGTAGCAGGTACAGAATCAACTTAATTAACAAATAACCTCATCTCCATCCCTGATATGGAATTTTTGTTTGAAATTACTATAAATAATTAAGGCAGCTAATTGTATCAATACCTTAGGTCACATTCTCTGCCAAATGACTGTCTCTGCTTCCTCTCAAAAATCAATAATCTGGCATTTACTGTTTAAAATTTACATCTTCTTAATCTTAAATTGCTTCTCTAAATATTTTTTTAGTTCCTTCAATGTCATAGTTATGAATAAATATTTCTATTTCTATAAGAAAATAATCCCACTTCCCACTCCATACCGCTGTTCTTCCATCTTCCCTGTGAGCTTGCAATATGCAAGCTAACTTTTGTGAATGGTTAAAAAGGAGCTGTTTTACCCTACCTTGGAGGTTAGTTGCTAATGGAGTGGCCTGACAGGAGATATGGTGATACAGAATTTGGGCAGGGTGCAGGCAGCTCAGTTCAGGCTTATGATATCACGGACACCCAAACAGTGTCTCCCCTTGGCACTGGCAGACGTGGGCACTTGGTGGATGAGGTGGGGTTGTTCTGTCCTTTGAGCTACAGATGGCTTGGATTACTCTGCTGAAAACTGAGGTGGTGGTCAGTGACGGGGCACTTAAGAGGCAGTAGAAGTAAGTACAGGAGTCCTGTTAGAGAAGAAGGCTTGTCCTGCGGGACCATGTTCTTGCTCCCTGAGAAGCAAGAACAAAGTGAAGTGGAAGTAATACTCGTCTATATGCAGTTTTAAGTGGATAGACTTTTCAGTATGTATGGCACAGGGAAGCATAAATCTTTAGACTATTGTGCATAAAAATAGGAAATATGTAGACTGGCTGATATGAAATGGGATATTACTACACCACTTAAATTTTATTTCAGGAAACAATATGTAAGCTTCCTTTAAAAACGGTTCAGGGGAAGGCAAGAAAAGCCATTGCCACCCACATACAGATGTTTTCTATTTTTAAATAAGGAGCTTGAAATCATGGGGTTTATTTTTAGAAGTTGTTACATGAATCCAGACAACCATGAAATATTACAGAAACAGATCTGTTATATCCTGTGTCATAAACAGGTGAGTTTGCCTGAAAATTGTTTGCAGCTCAAGAGTAAGTTGTTGTACTATTTGTAAGAACAGGCAAGAGTTTAGAAATGACAGAAGCCAAGTGATTCAGAGCTGGTGAAAAAGGTACTTTTTCAGGGAAAACTTGAGCCAAAGAAAAGTCCCTTTTCTTGCCGAACAGTTTCAAAGCATAGAATCCCTCAACCAGGCCTAATAAAGAAGCCAGTGTCTCCTGTGCATTGGTGTGAGAGCACTAAAATGAAACAGACTGTCTAAGAATGCAATAAATCATATAGGGTCATTGCACTAATGAACAGTTTGGGCCCTAACTCTCATTAGCTTGTCTGCAGGAAGAGAAAACTAGTAAAACAGGAAAAGGACATAGGAGAGAAGCTCTTTGCTGGTACTGTCTTAAGCTTTTATTGTTGAAGGACACCCTTTAGCTAATTTCAGACCCATTAAAGAAAAAAAAATCTCTTTGGTGATTAGTAACCAGTGGATAAGAGCAGAAAGCCCAAGTGAATAAAGCCATAAATACCTAAGTCCTTGGGATAACAGCCTGTAAAACTGTCAAAAAGGGTTGCTTAAGTGACAAAAGATAGCCTCTGGTAACTAGAAGTACCAGCGCTGTCGGCACTAATCCATATTCTTATATGGAAGGCATTTTTTAATTCCTTCTAAAAAGGCAAGTCTTTTCTGTTAAAATGTTCATTCTTATGTTAAAAGCAGCTGTTTCTTCTGGATGCGCTCTCACTGCAGATTTCTCAAAGTCAAAAAAGCTAGGTTTAGTTTCCGATACTTAACAATTTTAACATTTATGCTAATCTGTATTTCTTGGAATAAATTTTCAGACAGGGCCATTTAAGGAAATAATGTGAATTGTTTCAAGAGGCATTAAGAACCCTTTTTAAAAGAATGTGGATGATAATTTGTGTTTCACTGGGACTTTCTGTGGTTTAGCTTCTCAAAGTGATCTTGCTAAAGCACAGCAAAATTTTTACCAGGAAGGTATTATAACAACTGTATGTGTATTCCTTCTTGTGATCCTGTCTCAATTAGTTAATCCTGTAAGAAAATTTTGACATGGTGGAATTTCACTGTTGTTTGCGTGCCTTGTAATGTGAGCAAGACCAGGACTTTTCCCTCTTTTCATTTCCAGTAAACTGGTTCAAAAAGAAAGTAGTGAAGTTTTAGTAGTGACAAGTATCTCCACACCTGTGTGATTTCCGCCCCCCCCCACAGTTTTAGCATTTCTTCAAGTATTGTAAACTGAATATGATAGTCTTTTAGTGTTTGTTACTTTTTTAAAGGAATGGATTTTACATAAGTTAAAGTTCATGTTGAAATTAATAAAGGAAAAATACAGTTAATGGAAATCTGCAGAAACTAGTTGTCAGCTAGTAATTTTGCTGCAAAAAGCAGAAAGTGACAGATAAACCAGATGTTTAAGAGTAACCTGAAGCTGGAAGACTGAAATTAGTTTCCGGAATGGTGATGTCTTTAAAGTTTGCATTGACTCTTGTTCTTCATCAGTGCAGTCTGTTTCATGTTATCATAATTATTTTACAGCTAAAAATCTTGTATGGTTTTGCAGAAGTTCAGCCAGTAAAACAAAATAGAATTTTTTTTCAGAATTACTTGATTTTTGGAGCAGTGTCAAGTGATGCTGCAGTGCCTTCCAAAAAGGTCTGATGCTGTGGACCATGTAAGAATCTCTCTCGGTACTCAGAAATGGGTTGCGTTGTTGGTTGGGTTTTCTTGCACAGGGTTAATTCACCTGTATACAAGCTGTATATACACCCATACAGTCAGGTCCAGAGTTTGTGTTTTGACTGTGCGTCTGTGAGAACTGGAGCTGGTGTTGGTTTGAGGAGAGCAGATGTTAATGGTGTTTTTCTCAAGCATTCTGTTGCCCAAATAGGCGTCTCTCATTGTGAGAAAAGGCAGTAAAAGGCTGTAAATCTGCCTGCTTGTTATGAAAGGCAACAATAGATGGATTTATGGAGAAAAAGCAACTGTTAGGCTTAGGTAGCCTGTGTGCCTGAAAACTGAGTTTTACAGTGACTAGGTATTACTGCTGTTATTTTTGAGAACAATTTAGTTCTAACTTAATCACGAGGGATATTGTACAGGCAAGGAGAGTCAGAAAACTTTTGTTAGCCTGGATAACATGTCACAATAACACAGTTGTGTAAAATTTAAAGTGTAAGCGGGTTTTCTTTTCAATAGTAGATTTTTAGATTGTTACTTCCTAACCTGATCTTCACCATTCCTTCTGTATGGACGCTTCTTTCTTGTTTTATGTTCTCTGTTAGCATCCCCTGTGCCCGCATACCAGATTTGTTCTTTGTCTCATATACCCAGATGAGTGTGCAAGTACGTACCGACATCCACACACTTCAAGCCACTAAGCCTAAGAAACAGCAAAAAAGTATATGGAGACATGCAACATGGCAGCAGGAGGCAAGACTTCTCGGTACAACCCTCATAAGCCATAACCACTATGAGAAAAATTATACAGAATTTTTAGATCAAGTAATAGGCCATTCTCAGTAATTTTACAGAATTTTAGAGAGAAATTTATACATTTTAAACAATAGTGGAAAAACAATGTATAGAACTGTTTGTTAAATAATGTGAACTGATTTTAACAACTCTGTTTTAAAAATCTAGTTCTCTTTTGTAATCTGTGGGTTCCAGATAATTTCTCTCTGTAACAAGGCAATCTTTCTGGTTCAATCACTATTACAATCCGTAGGGTCTTAATACATATGGAAAGTGTGGGGATGAGGAGAAATCCAGTAACAGCAGCAAAGTTAACACTTATTTTCTAAGGAACCTTAGAAACACTTATTTTCTAAGGAAGAAGAAAAAAAACTAATGGCAAATGTTACAACTACAGTATGACAAGGATACGAGAGCCTTAGGTCTATTAGAAATTATTAGGTCTATTATCATTTAGGCTCTCATGTTGTATAGCATTTCAAACAAGGCATTGGGAACTTCTTGTTAGGATATCGGCTTTAGTAAAGAACTAGACATGATGTGGTAGTGTGTATGTATGTTGAGTGCATAGCAATTTCCACAATGTTTGCCTCACTGACACCTGAAATAAAGATCTTTGAGTGTTATTCTGTTCCGTAGTTCTTTTTTCTTGACAGCATGCCTTAGGCAGTAACTTAACAGTAAGAGTTTTAGGCAAAAATGTTTCTTACAATGTTATTTATTTTCTTTTTTTTTTTTCCTTTTAAGTCTGAACAGCCCAGTCCTGCCAGTTCCAGCTCCAGTTCCAGTTCCAGTTTTACACCATCTCAAAACAGCAGACAACAAGGTACCAACAAAGGAAAAGACATTGAAAGGAACGTGTGAAATGAAGGGGCCAATAAAACCAGAACTGGTGGCATCTCATTACCATTTTTCTGCTGCCTTTCACAGCCTGAACTGGCCACACTTTTGTTTTAGAGACTTTTCCTCGGGTTGTTTTCAGATGTGGCTCTAAGGACAAAATAAAAGGGGAGAAAATGTGTATCTGAGAAAAGGGTGTGAAGGGTATTTGTTTTGAAGCATTAAATACATGCCAGCCACTTAACAGATGCTAAACTCAAAAGAGCTTCTGTTTGTGAGGTTGTCCATTTGCAGGGTTAGGTAGCACGGCAACTGGCTCCATCTGAAGCCCTGCTCAGGAAGGTGTGGCTTCCTATGGGAAGCCCAAGGATGTGTGTATGTGGACCCTTTCAAAGGGCCGTGATCTTCCCTATTCCAAGAGCATAAGGTATTTACTTTACATACATGTCAGGGGAAGGTGATGGTTAGACTTTAAGTTGACTTGAAGTTTGCATTTTGGTTTTCTGGCTAATAATTATGGTTTACTTGGAACTCAGTAAAGAAATGCATTTTTTTTTTTCCCAGAGAACTTGCCAAGGCAGGTTTTCTGTAAATAAGTTGAGATTCATTCTGCATGATCTGTTAAACTACTTAGTTCCTGCTTGGCCTTTTTCCCTGGGTTTATAAGATTGTACAACTGATACATTCTTAATCAGCTTTTGTTTTGTTCTTTGGATCAGGAGCATTAAAAAAGCAGCTTTTGACTAATTAAAATTGCATTTGTTTTATCCATTTATATTCCTCAATGGTAGACTTGATTTAAGGTTATGAAAATACATTAGTGCCTCAGGCAGACAGTTTCTTTTTAAATAGATCTACACATGGTGCCTATCTGTCCTACTATCTTTCTGTAGGTGACTGGTACTGATTTTCTAATGTGTTCTGGCCAGCGTTACTCCAGGTGAAAGAAAGCAAGAGCTGAAGTGAACTGTGGTTGATGACTGGCTTCAGGCATTTGATTTTTACCTAAGGCTAAACAGAACCCCTTCTTGCTGAAACTCCATTTTTGCTCTCATGAAAACCTCATCAATGGTTTGAACTGTCCATTACAAGCCAAAAGATTTGGATACCCATTCCTGTATCTGTTATCTTATGTTGGGCAAAAACCTGTTAACTTAGTATTTTCTTCTGAGCAGACTGGATGCATTCATCTCTTCTGGGTCATATATAAGACATTTCACAGACTGTCTTTCAGTTTTTTGTACCTTCTCAAGAATAGATGGGAGATTTTTCCTCTGATATGAACAACTCTGAAGTGCAAGTGGTATATATGTCTCCTCTTTCTTGCCACAGTCAATAGTGATTTCTGCTTGTTTCTGGGAGTTCCAGTTAACTGAATGCGTTTGTTGCCCAGGCCGTGCATTTGTATATCAAAGGGATGAAGCACCAGGCATACTGTGGCACATTCACACTGTATGTTGTGCTCTGGTCAGAACCCATACTTTTTTCCCTAACTACAAGTTACCTGCCAGGGCCATTGCTCTTTTCCCATTGTGTTCAAACTCCAATGCTCACTCAAGTGTTAGAAAACCGCAGGATGAACTTTTTTCACCTCTTTTTGCATAAGCAGTAGGCTAACCTAAGGCTCTTTAAGTTGTTCTGCCCTTGGGGCTAACTCTGATATTTCTCTGTTTCCTTACCAAGAACACTTGCCCTTGGGCAGCTCCTAGTTTTCAGTTTCTCCTTAACTATTCTGACCTTTTAGGAGATAACAACTTCTCAAACCCTTAAAAAGGTTGTCATGGAATTTTAAATTAAGTGTTAGCAAGGAGCAGAAGATTAACAGTGACATCACTATCAGTGCTAGAAACAAAAGACTTAAAAATTAATGCTTTGCTGATTGTTAGGAAAGTCTACAGAAAAAGCTGGGTAGCTGGGTACAAAATGCCTATTCAGAGTCCCAGACGTGGTCTTACATAAGTGAAAACAGGTTGTTCAATGCCTATGGGGCTGTCAGTGATGGATGTGTCTCAGGAGTCTAAGTTCCTTTTTCTCCAAGAAAGAGGAATAAGCCTGTTGGCAACTTGAGACAGGACTGTCTGATTGTCCCAGAACACAGCAAGGGGGTATCAGGGGATAAAATGGCCCTCTGCTATACTTGGAAAAAGGACATAGGCAAGAATAATGAGTTAGCTTAAGCTTGGGAGAGCAGGCTGTGTAGGGATCATGAGGAATGTGTGCTGGTTTTCTTTCTGCTTCCATTTAAAAATAAAATCAAGGGCTGATGTTTTGGGTGACTTGCAAGCATAGCTACCAGTTTCCATGTTGTGGAGTTACGTGCTGCTGTTTTATGCAAGATCAGCTACTCATATGTCATACTAAATTTCATTACAAAATAAGGTTTTGGTTGATTGTTTTACCTTTCCTCCCACTGACCTTTTCCTCGGCTCTTTCATCAAGAGTATGATGATGCTTTCCTTTCATCTGTCCTTTACCAAGTCTTTCCTATCATTGTCTTCGTTCTGTATATTGTGGAGAGGAGAGGAATGCATTCTCAGAAGCTGACTTTGGCCTATGGAGTGGAGTGAAACTCATCTGCTCTCAGTGCAGACAAAGATGACCATCTTCAGTAGGACTTTGGTGGTTGTTAGTGTCTTTGCCCAGTAAGGTGTGAGGAAACTAGTCTTTCTAGGCTAAGCCTAGCCTGTGAAATACTCTTGTGTTCTACCCTTTTATCTCTCTTGAAACATGGAATCCTTCTTTGTATATTTATAGTTTAATTCTCTTTTCTAACCCTTTACCTCAATTCATTTAGCTTCCTCTGCCATGTCTCTCATTCACCTACCTCAACAGTCAAGGGCCAGTAAGAACATTTTCCAAAAGATCAAAATGGGGAAATTCTTCCTTCATCCCTGTGCTGATGCTGCTGAGAGTGCCCTCTTTCCTTCCTTTTTAAAAGGAATATGTTTATTACTACTATTAAAAGCTAAGGAAGGAGTCGTGTCCCTCCTTCAAGAGTCAAATGATTAGATATTCGGCCAGACTACAAGTTACCATTGGCGAATAGCTGAGCGTTGTCTGCCTGAGACCCAAACAGGAACAGAAAATGGAGCACACATCAGCAGCTTCTGCAGATCAGCGGTGGTTGCGTGGACAAGAAGCACTTCTGTATGGCTCCCCTTTCCTTGTCGCCTGCACAAGTGTCTGGTCCACCAGGAATTTGCCCATCAACACCATCTGGGCTTCTTCCCAGCCAACCCTAAGGTGTAGAAACAGAGAAAACAAACCATTGATCTGAACCTGCCCAAACTGCGCCAATTTATGAAAGTATTAGTGCAACCTTAGTGGTAAATCGTTCTCAACATCGGCTTTGAAGTCACTCGCACAAAACTAGTCAAAATGCCTGTGACTGGAGCCTTGCTAGGTCTGGAATAATCCATAAAGCTGTTCCTCCCATGAAGGGAACACCGTCCCTGTTAGGAGTATGACCCTGAAGATAGACAGAGGTCTGTCGTCTTTTCTGGCAGTGACCAGGGATGACAATCCTTGACTCTGTTTCCCCATTAGCAAATAGATAGTTGCAAGCTTCATCTCCCCTTGAAGAACACTCTGAAGCTCACTTCCTTCACGTTAGTACTTCGTGTTTTCTGGGCTGAATGAATTACAGAACCCCAATAGTAATCGCTGTTCCTGCAGCCATCACTGTTGCTTTTATTTGCTGCTTTGTGTCTCAGATGGGCTGTACTTCAGAGTTAAATGCCCTGTGGCATCAGTCTTGCTTCCTTCCCTCTTCTAAGCCGCTTTTGCCCATTCTTATTTCAAGTAGCTGTGGCTTTACATTTCCCAGATATGTTAAACGTATTCCTCTTTCTGTAACTGTCTTTTACAGCAAAATAAATTGAGTAAAATCAAACCAAAATCCCAAACTGAATTTAATGCAGTTTTATGAGCAAGTCAAGCTTTGTACCTTCTGTTAATTCAGGAAAAGAGATAGCATGGTGTTGCATGGGACTGATGCACTTGTTACTTATGAACATTGGCAAAGTGCTTACTTGACCTGAAACTGACCCTGAAATAAAGGGAACAGCTAAAGCTAAATATATAAAAAACAGGAAGACAAAGACTGCCTTGGCCAGTACAAGTTAGTCAGAATGATTTGTTTGACTCTGCTTCTCAATACGTGGATTAACCTAACAAATGTACTGTTACTGATCAGTATGTCCCTGTAGATCTTTACTCGCTTGTTCCCCTTTGAGAAATCAAAAAATGCTAAAACCCAGCAATGCAAAATAAGCTTGCTTCTAATAATAATACAGTAATAGTCAATTTCTCCTGGCATGACAGTATTTTACTTACTTCAGCTATGGTCCAGGGGGCCAATCGTGCAAACGCTTGAACATATGAGTCACTTCACTGCCATGAGTAAGTCTATTGAAGCTGACTGAGTTGCTCGTGTGAGTAAATGGATAACTCCCTGCAGCATAAGCTCCCAGTGCATTACTTCATTTGTTTAATGTTTAAGACTGTCCCCTCCCAACACTGTGCGGGGTGGGTAGTTTTCTGTCATCTGCAAAACTGGATGCATTGCTTGGAACACTGCAAAGTGAACTTCATTTGTGTATTTTATTGTCTCTGTTTCAGGTCCTTTGAGGTCTATAATGAAAGATCTGCACTCAGATGATAATGAAGATGAATCAGATGAAGCAGATGAGAATGACAATGATTCTGAGTTGGAACGACCTGTAAATACACGAGGAGGAAGCAGGAGTCGAAGGTGAGTGTCTTGAGATTGCAAGTAGCCTGGTGGCCAAGACTTGTGCTTGTTAGTAATGGGGAGAAGTCTAATGTTCTCAAAGAGTGCTGAGTAGCAAATGGGCAGAGAATTCAGACTCTCTTTTTAAAGCATATGCATGTAAAAATGTGTCTTCTGAAAACTATAAGAATTAGCCATTTCCAATACAAACTATTTCTGTACTAATCTATATGGTTATGATGGTCCTCATTCATTTGACTTTCCTTGATTTCATGCTATTGTGACTTCAGGGGAGTAGTCATAATTACTCTCTGGCATAAATGAGATAATATTAAGTCCTTTAATTGCTGGATGAGCTATTCTGTACATAGTGTCTCATTTTTAAGATCTCTCTGCTTACCAGTTTTGGATTAGGTTGTTAAATCAGATCAGAATCAATGAAATTTGAATTCCAAGTAATTTCTGCGCTGCATGCAGTCAGTAATGTGTAAAAGTGCAGACAGAAGGTAAAGCAAGCATCTGTCACAGAAATTACTTTTTAAAAAATGTTTCTGCATCCTAGCTGCAACCTTTAGAGGGTGTTCCAAAAATAATTTTGGATTTCTTTCTATTCTTCGGGCAGCTTGAAGCTCCATCTGAATGTTGTTGAAGGTTATGGAAAACCTGAAGCAGTCTCTCTCTTGAACCTTTTTCTAGTGGGTTCTTATCTGATCCATGGGGTTTTGCTGTGAGTGCACAGCACCTGAGTGCCAGTGTCAGCTACTGCTTAAATGGGAAGGTAATAGGAAAACATTCATGAATGTCAGCTGCTACCCTGGTGCACTTTAGCAGCTGGAATCAAGGAGAAAAAAGACCAAGATGACCAGCAGTTTGAGAATTTATTCATGTCAGTGATTGTATAAAGGATTGTCTTAAGCTCAACTTGTCTTTAAGTGTGGAGATTTTTTTCAGTTTTTTAACAAAACCTTAAGGCTGATGTTTCTCTACCTTTTGTTTTATCCCAAATAACTGTTTTTCTTTCTTCCAACAAGTAAATACTCCCTGTTGTTCCTAAGTAAATGAAGGGTGAGACTGACTAGAAGCTGAGCTTTTTCATGTGGCCTCTCCTGAGATAGTAAATTTTTAAATTTTAGCCAGGAAAAAGTGTTATTTATGACGAAAAACAAGGAACTTTTCAGTGAAGCACTTGTCCAAGTGGGAAGTACAGCTGTTCAAAAAGCTTTTAGAAGAGCAGAAAAGTATCTCTACAAAACATTTTCCTCCTTCCTCGTAGCTACGAACAGAGATACAGACTTGCTCCAGGAACAGCAGTTTAATGTTCCAGTAATGTGTAAAAGTGCAGACAGAAGGTAAAGCAAGCATCTGTCACAGAAATTACTTTTTAAAAAATGTTTCTGCATCCTAGCTGCAACCTTTAGAGGGTGTTCCAAAAATAATTTTGGATTTCTTTCTATTCTTCGGGCAGCTTGAAGCTCCATCTGAATGTTGTTGAAGGTTATGGAAAACCTGAAGCAGTCTCTCTCTTGAACCTTTTTCTAGTGGGTTCTTATCTGATCCATGGGGTTTTGCTGTGAGTGCACAGCACCTGAGTGCCAGTGTCAGCTACTGCTTAAATGGGAAGGTAATAGGAAAACATTCATGAATGTCAGCTGCTTCCCTGGTGCACTTTAGCAGCTGGAATCAAGGAGAAAAAAGACCAAGATGACCAGCAGTTTGAGAATTTATTCATGTCAGTGATTGTATAAAGGATTGTCTTAAGCTCAACTTGTCTTTAAGTGTGGAGATTTTTTTCAGTTTTTTAACAAAACCTTAAGGCTGATGTTTCTCTACCTTTGTTTTATCCCAAATAACTGTTTTTCTTTCTTCCAACAAGTAAATACTCCCTGTTGTTCCTAAGTAAATGAAGGGTGAGACTGACTAGAAGCTGAGCTTTTTCATGTGGCCTCTCCTGAGATAGTAAATTTTTAAATTTTAGCCAGGAAAAAGTGTTATTTATGACGAAAAACAAGGAACTTTTCAGTGAAGCACTTGTCCAAGTGGGAAGTACAGCTGTTCAAAAAGCTTTTAGAAGAGCAGAAAAGTATCTCTACAAAACATTTTCCTCCTTCCTCGTAGCTACGAACAGAGATACAGACTTGCTCCAGGAACAGCAGTTTAATGTTCTAAATATTTAACTGTTTCTGTAATGTTAGCTGCTGTTAACTGGACATGTCATCTCAGCCAAGTGCAGGCAGACAGCCTTGTTCTCCATGCTATGCAGAGCTTTTTCCAGAGTGGGGCCCTGCTCGGATGCTTCTCTTCCACGTGACCTTGATTAATGATGGCTTGCTTAGCAAGGGGTCATTCTTAGTGTCCTACCTCAACATGCAAGCTCAGTTCACCCCTGTTAACAGCCTTTTGTCTGTAGGTGTAATCTCTTGGCTCTGTTTTTCCGTAGGGTTAGTCTGAGTGATGGCAGTGACAGTGACAATAGTTCAGCTTCCTCACCACTACATCATGAACCAGCACCACCTTTACTGAAAACCAACAACAACCAGGTAAAATCAGGATTCGTAAATGCAGTCCTGGGCAGCTGATATGACATTCTGATTACTTCAGTGCAGTTACTTCGTCTGTAAACTGACATAAGAGCTTTTTTTTTTTTCAGGAGAAGTAGTATTTGGTTTAGCAAATACTATAGACCAAAATAATGTTTTCATCAGTATTTTAGGAAATGTGTCCTTTCTGTATGAATTAGCTTTGTAAGGTAGACAATGCAAACTGGTTTTACAGCATCAGTTGTACAATTGATACAGCTTTGGGTTTGTATTGGCAGTAGACACAGTTCGCATCAAGATGCTCATTCTCAGGAGTTTATTCATTCATCTCTTCCACTCTCCCCCCACCAGTGTTTATCTGGAAGATACAATATTTTTTTACTTCACTAGAAGACACAATATTTTTTACTTCACTATCAGAGTATTTGTTCCATATCCGTAAGAGCTGACATTGTTATTATTTTTGAGGTAGGAAAGTAGGGTAATTTTGTTTTTCAGAGAAAAGACATTAAATAACATAGACCTACAAAATACATCAGGGACAAATGAGAATTACAGTTTGGGAGTTACCTCACCCCCAGTCACCAATGAAGTAAGCCTCTCTAAATATAAAAATTAAACATGAAAGCTGATATTCTTTAAAAAAAAATTTATAAAATACATAATTTGTCACTTATTTTAAGGAGCCATAATTCACTCTCAGTGTCAGTTGGATCATACACAAAGCAGTAATGAAATTTAATAACTGGCAATAAATGGCTGCTTACAGTATTGATACAGTTGGAATACAAGTATTAATAAAACTTTGTGGTTTAGATGGTGAGTTTTAATGGATGAGTCTTTCCTATATCTCTAAGGTTAACTGCTTCAATTATCTGGCAGAAATTATTTACTTGTCATTCTTTTTCTAATAAGGTTTCCAATACAAGCTTACTGATAGTGCAAAACCAAAACATTATTATTCATGTCAGTTAAGTTCAAATACACCATGGGGAAAAAAACCTAGGGAGTAGTTTGTGCACAGAGAGAGGAAGGAGATTCCATGTCTGGAAAGCATTCTTATTATCCACCAGAAACTCTGTAGCCTTTTCTATGTTGATCTGTACAAAAGTTACAAGTTTTTAAGAGAGAGACTTTTAGGAAAAAAGCAAACTATAAAGATGAAGAATATTGCATTTACTGGAGACGTAAGCACAAGAAAAATAAAACACCTATCTATGGCTTATTATGTAATGAATACTAACTTCTACAGAGGCAATGCAGTTTTTAAGTAATTTTAAGTCTCAATATCAGCAGCCCACTCAGTCACATCTTTCATGTTCCTTTCCCCTTCAGTGATCTAACAGAAGGTCTACCTGTGCATTTAGACACTCCAAACAATAGCAGTGTGCCAGCTAAAACGGAATGTCACGTACCTTCTTCCATTTTTATAATTGAGCTGAATTTTATAATCAAGCTGAAAATCAGAAATTTAGAGAAGCATTATGAGAATTCAAATTGTATGGACCGTAGCCACATTTGAAATCTCTGCTTGTAGCACAGTGCTGCTTGCCAGGATGATGCTTCTGACTGATGACATGGGGCTTGTGTTGACTAAGTCCATTCATAGAACTAAAGTGCTAAGACGGAGTTAATATTTCTGTAAGCTTCCTCAGATGTGATTAGTGCTGTGTCTCATCTAAACAAGAGTACTTAAGATGTTAGATTTCAACTACACATCAAGAGCACTGTAAGGAAGCCACTTCTTCAAATATACTGTGTCCTTGCTAAGGTTCTATTTGAAACCAAGAATTTTCTTCCTTTAAAAACAAGAAAAGCATCTAGAAGGTATTGGATCCATGCCTAGAGGTCTGGGTTTTTTTCAAAACAAGACTTGTTCTTCCACTGGCCTACACAGCAGTAACCCCAGGGGGTGCTGAATTGAAGAACTGGGTTTTTTCTTTGGAAAAGTATGTTTTGATTTCTGGCCATGCATCGCTCTTGGCTAAGTAAATCCTTAGGTAAGGTTAACTCAGGTCTGCAGTCACTTTCTATGTATAGGGAAATAGCTGCCTACCTGCTGTATTCTTGTGGTGCTGATCACCCTGGGGAGCAGATACGCAATTTTAGTCATTTATATCAAGGGAAGTAGAAATGAGAGGGAACTTACAGAAAGCTGTCAGTGAGGCTTCTTGCTAGACTAGAAGACTTCCTTTTACAGTCCTTATTTCCTTGTTTTATTTGCTGAGTTTTGTCCTGTGTTGTGACTGTCCAGTGTGGTTTTGGAGATAATCATGCTAGTAATGGTAGTCTTACAATGAAATGTGAAACAAAATCTCCCATCATCTGTGATCATTTATTTTCCTTTGATGTTTTTCAGAAGAACTGATCATATTCCAGGTTAGGAATAACATGGTGATTTTTTTTTTAACTCTACTTTTAGCTTCAAAAAATGTGTGTTGTGTGTGGAAAAAATTGGAAGAACAGTCAACAGTTCTGTTTCCCCAAAATATTCTTCACTTTAGTCCTAAAATTTTCATATTAAGCATGGTGTTCTGCTGCTTGTTGTCATGCTCTTCTTGACTGTGGTTCAATACTGGATGAAGCATTCTTGGTTTGTATATGTGGTAGTAAATGGCTTTGTATGGCATTGCAAGAAAGGTACCATATAAGTGCAAGAGAAATTACCATCAAACGCTTTTTTCTTTCAGTTACAACTCATGCGGTCATTTCAAAGACTATGTTTCAAAATCTCTATTGTAGAAGAAAAGAGACAGCATTGGGGAAAAAAGAACAGGAAAAATATACTGATCATGTGACATTTCAAAGGCACTGGAGAGTACCTCAGCATCATTTTGTATCTGCAGAATCAGACCTCTTATCCTAGCAGCATGCAAAAGATACAAAAAAGTGTTGAGGAGGCTTTAAATGACATGAAATTAATTCTTTTAAGGATTAGTAATGTCAGTATCACCTCGTTCCAGCAACTCAGCATTTTCTGCTGTAAGCTGCTGCTTTTCTGAAAAATATGAGTAGGTTGTATAGATTAAAGAATGAAAAGCTCCACATGTTATATTTTTTGTGTTATTAACCGATAGCAGAATTTTTCATATGTAGTTGTATCCAGTGATGCATTTAATTTTTACAGGATTTTCTTTCTTTTCTAGATTTTAGAAGTGAAAAGTCCAATAAAGCAAAACAAATCTGAAAAACAAATAAAGAATGGGGATTGTGATAAGGTAAATGAGAATGAGGTAACAGTAAACTAGTCCAGAATGTGATATTAATGTATTTACTAAACACCAACCTTTGTTACAGAATGAAAATCTTAGTAATTAGTACATCTTTGCTTTGGGTTCCTTTAGGTGCAGATCTTTCATCTTTTTTTTCTGTAATTCTTTCTTCTTCTGTCCTGTTTTGAAAGTGTTTTCTTTCTCTTAAATCCATATGGTGATTTGGTAAATGTTATCAGTTGGGAATCTGCCATCTATTATTTATCTACTCTCCACCATGAGTTTGCATTGTGCTTCACAGATTAAGTGATAATTTTTGAAGAGGAGAATTCATAGCTTTATTCCTAGCCAGTAAATCAATCAATTAAAAAAAAAAAAAAATCTCTTTTCCAGAATCCTTTCTGAGGGCTGTGCATTAGGAGGTGGCAGTGTGATTTAGCATGTTAACTAGAATGATATGAAGCAACAGTTACCATTTAACACTGAGAAAGACAGTTTTGTTTAAAATCATGTCAGCTGGCCGTAGGTAAAAGCTCTAAGTCCTTAGCTCTAAGAGTGAACGTAGCACAATTGCCCAGTGTGGACAAGTTCCTCTGAAGGTTCATATCTTAAAAGTATTAGTGTCAACTTTGTGATAATGTGAGGCGGGAGACCAAAGTTTCAGTATATGTTTCTAGATTTTCAGTGGCCTGATCCATACACTTTTTGGTTTCTTAAGCTGGGTGCCGTATCTCTCTCTGCTTAAGAGAAAAAAAGGTTTCCGATGGCTCGGGCTAAAGGAGAAAGTTGATAATTGGGTGGAGAGGTGGGACATGTTTGACATCCCAGGAATTTACCATTGGATTAATCTTGCTTGATCTTTCGCTCCTTAGATCTCCTTGTTGACACAGAAAATTAATTGCGTAGCTTTAGAGAAAAAGAGGGATTTGATTGTGAGCCTTTGGGTTTGGGTCTTATGTGGAAAGGTGGGAGATGTTTTTTAAACATGCTGTTTCGGCATCCCCGGTCTGTTTGACACTTTTTGCCACAGTTGCGATACAGAGATTCTCTTCTGCAGCAAAGGACCACCTGATAAGATTTTCATCAGCATGAAGTATCTAAGAAAACCCACAAAAACTTACATCTGGGTTGCATTAAGCTAGAGAAAGCCAGACTACTAAATAAGAAAATTTAGCTCAAAGAGGATTTAAAATAAAATTTCAATTTGTTTTGTTTTTGAAGACACCTGAAGTTTTTGAAATACATAGCTATGACTTAATTAACAAGTTGTTTATGGGGGGGGGGGATTTGTTTCTAGGCATATCTCGATGAACTAGTAGAGCTCCACAGAAGATTAATGACACTGAGAGAGAGACATGTACTGCAGCAGGTGAGGAGCACTCTCATGCAATATCACAGTGTGCTCATTGAAACTGTGAAGTCACATCTATTTTTTCCCCTTCATCTAAAACTCTATGATCAGGTTTAATAGCCTTCAAGCCTGTATAATCCATATACAGCCCATTACCGCTTTCAGTGAAGCTTAGGGAATTTTTACACATACTTCAAATTGTGTTGTCACACTGAATGACAAATTTAAAAAAAAAAGCCTATCTGAGCTAAATTTTTCACCAATTCATTGTTATGTTTCTCAACATACTGTATCAATAATTATGAAAAGAGGATGGGAGAATGGATATAGCTATGCACCATGACTTGATAAAAATCTTGTTGCTTTTTCCTGAAAATGACTGGCTTTTTCTCAGAAACAATTAAAGGTGTTTTCTATGGCAAACAGAAAACATGGAATTCAAAGCAAAACTCACTTTGGGCAAATTACAATATAGTAATTGAGTCTTCTGAAGTCATGGAAGGAGTAAAATATGAAAATGTGCAAACCAAGAAGGCTCTGAATTTATTGAAAGGTTATGCAATACTAAGAACAAAGAATAGTATTTGTTGTTTTGGACAGCATTGTCAGGTACTATTGGATTACAAATTGTGAAGATTAAACAACAAGCACTGTTAACAAAGCAGATGTAATTGTAGCACAGATGGTTTTATTATGTTCAGTGCAATTATGTGCCAGTTGTGGACATGTTGTCAAGAGGGAAATTTTTACCACTTCTAAATGATTGCAATCACTCATCCAAATTCAACACTTGAATAAATTTTTTAAAAATTTGTAAGCCCCAGCATTAATCTGTTTATTAGTTCAGGCTCAATATTGTGAGTAAAGATGAGAAAACAATTGAGAGGTCAGTGGAAAGGAAGACTTTGGTTAAGGTTATTCTTAAAGAGGAATTCTGATAGTTTTGTCAGATTTCATAAGTTACAATACACAGTGATGCATATTGGTAATCCTTCGTGTTTAATGTACTGTTGTTTCCCAAGTTCCCTTTTGTCTACAAAGGGAAACAAAGCACACTTTCTGAATGATGGCAGAGGCAAATTTTTATCTACATTGGGAAATTACTGTGCAGGAGGCTAAAAGGTAGGAACACCCTCTCCACTTTACATTATTCTTTAATTCTTAAGGAGTTTGCATAAAAAGTGAATCTGAAAAAGCCACTATATTCTAAATTCATGCCCTAGCTTTGCTTCCTGAGCGCTTACTTCCCCAGTTGTCCAAGGCTTTTGAATGGTTTCACTTCTGCTAGAGCTCTGTAGCCAGCATAACGCCGTTACCAGCTATCAGTACAGAACTGCACCACTGTCCTAGCCTGCACAGTCCAGCCATAAATCCAGCTTTCAGTGGAGCTGTATCGACTGCCTGCAGAGCATAGGGCTTAGGTGGCTTCATGTGAAATTTTGAAAAAGAAAAACATCTTCAAAACCTTTTCTGCAAAGCAAAGACAAAAACAAGCAAGAAACGTCGTTTTTCCCGTGAAGGTGGTCTAGCAGTGGAACAGAGTCCTGGAGAAACTGTGCTGTCTCCATCCTTGGAGCTTTTAGAATCCTGACTGGATAAGCCCGGAGCAGCCTGATCTGACCCCATGGCTGAGCCTGCTCTGGGCAGGGGCTGGGACTAGCAAAATCCCTTCCAATCAGAATTCTCCTGTGATCCTAAAAAATATTTTCCAAGCCAATAAGGCAGTTCAAGTTGAATCCATAATCTTCTTTCTCATCTAGTAGTATATAATTGTATTTGGTGGGCAAGAAATATCTACCTTTGTTAGAAAAATGATGGGATCATCCACTAAAGCTTCTTCAGTCTGTTAGAGTACTGTTATAATCTGCTTCATGGGAAGTTACTAATACAAGGGAAAACTGTGTGAAAAGAGACATAACTGAGCTGGAAATTTAGAGTATCCTATTCTAAGTAAATGAAAAAGACAGTATATTCTTGTGCATTTTAAACTAAAGATAGACTTTTTCTTTCCTCCTGAGTGTATTTATCAGATGACAAAGCATTCCTTCATTGATCTTTGCATTGCAACTCGTGTGAAGAGTACAATTTCAATACTGTAGTCCATGACTTCTCATAGCACAGTGTTTAATTAGTTATATTATAAAAGTTAGGTTGATGTAGAATTGGTGTTGCCTTGTTTACTGGGGAACTATTCTTGCGGATTGTTTCCCCCCCATTTGGAGTGTGTGCAGGCAGTCAATACAGCCCCAGTGAAAGCTGGATTTATGGGGGGGACCATGCAGGCTAGGACAGCGGTGCAGTTCTGTACTGATAGCTGGTAACTGTGTAATACTGGCCACAGAGGTCTGCCAGAATTCAATGGAAGGACCAAGTTACTTAGCAGTTGTCTGTTAGCCGGTCTGCACTAGCAAATGGTCTATGCTGTTACAAAACAAATAATGCAGCTTAGTTTTAAAGCCTTTAATCCCTTAATATTCTGCAATTCATTAGTTCATATGACTTTATCAATTTACAGAAATATGTTCACAATATCGAAAGGATAACTTGCAGAGAATCAGTGCTTCTCTGCATTACAAATAAACTGTCATCCCATCTTAAATGTACTTACTGCTTTGCAGCTATGTAATTAATGTAAAATACTTCCAGTGAGCACAGAAATAAAGAGTACAGAGCTGAGAAAGTTTTTAGGAATGAATGTGAAACTTGTAGACCAAGAAATACAAGTATATAGAGACTATAGGAAGTACAAATTCCAGGAGAGCAAGGGATAAAACTGCGGAAAGGGATGGTGGTTACTGCATGAGAAGAGGAATTGAGTGCAAAAATATGCAACAGAAAACTGTAAATAGCTTCAAGAGTTTTAAAGGCGATGGGGGTGTTGAAGTGGAATAGTGGTGGAGTTCTGTGTTCCTGAGTGGTGATTGTTATCTCCTTAGTTTATGTCAGGGCAGGTAATAATCTGTTGTACATGTCAAAGTCTCCTACCCACAGACTTTTAGGGAATTTTTAGAGAAGGGACTTGCAAGAGAAGAATGAAGGCCTTGATCATTCAAAAGCGCTGTCTTTTGAAACTTACGCTAAAGGATGTGAAAACGAAAAGACAGGTTTTTGCAATCTCAGTTGTTAGCAAGTCCATAGGTATGACAGCAAACAGGAATGCAGCCAAGTTGGAAATGAGAAGAATGTATCTGTTTGAGAATGTGGCTCTTTCCCAAGAGAGGCTTTTCTCTTTGAGACACTTTGTTAATGGAAGCTGAAATAAATCTGCAAAAAAGAGGGAGGAGGCAGGAGAGATGTGATACTGAACTGCAAGTGCCTGGATAGTAATCCTGATGTGAAATGATACTTATATAAGAATTGCACAAGAGGGAGAAGGCAGGTGATAAAGAACATTTGACCAAGAAATTAGTCCTGTGAGAATCACCTGCACAATTTTTATGTGAATATTGGACAATGGCTAGACAGAAATCGGTCTGAAATTCTATTTTAAAAAGAAATCTCTCTCCCACCTCTTTCACTGTAAAGAAAGGGTTTGGGATTTACAGTTATGAGGCTTTTTTTTTTCTTTTTAATTCCTTGATTTCCAGTGAAATAGAAGGGATAATGGAGCCTGCAATCAGATGTTAATGCTGCATGTCCCATATATTCAAATTTGGCTGGCTAAAGCTGGGTTCCTAACTCTGCATTTTCAGTGCAGATGATGTTCATGTTGATGACCCCATGAAAGGCAACAAGATTTCTGGTAAGACTGCCTCTTACTTTGAGGCATCAGAAGTCTTATCTTCAGCTGGTGAAAAATCTCCTTAAAGCCAGTGCACTAGTCAGCACAGGCATAAGGAAGAAATTGAGAGTATGCAGCACTGCTGAAAATGACATTGCTCATGTCCACAAGGTGCTTAACTTCAGATGGCAACTGTCTTCTGAAAATTTTCTGCAAGGGGCAGCTTGCAGGTCTAGAAACTATCAAATGGCCTAAAACCCTCCATAAATTGAAAAATTACTGTCATTACTTGCACTTTGGCTTCTTTAAACACACACACACACTCATTTGCTTGTTTAAAGGCAGATAAATAGTTGTACTATGATGGATAATGATGAAACTGAGCTGGAGAGATATGATATAAACAGATGTAAATTACAGCAGAAAAGCAAAGCTTACTATGGCAGGAACAAATGGGATATTTTTGTTCTTTGCAGCCTGAGCTCTCGCAATAAAACATTTTAATGCTGTGTTTTTAATATTATAACTGTCAGACTTCCTGGCAACTAATCTCAACCTTTTATTCTTTTTCAAGTATTTCTGAATAGCATAAGGATGCATATGCTAATACTTTAAGTCATTAATTTCTCATTGACTGGCATACAGGCAGGTGTTTTTCATTGAGCTGTCTGGATTTATCTTGATACATTTTTGTATATCCATTAATACTTTTGGGGGTCATCTTAGTCTGATTTACCAGGTGCCCTGACATAGTGGCTATATTTCTTGGGGGTGGATGATGGATATGTTTAAAATGTTTATATTTCCCTTGGCCTAGAGCTTAAAAGCCCAAAGCAGAACCTGATCAATAAAAATGCTTATCAATTTTTTTAAAATATACAGTGCTGTTTAAAAATACATATGTTAACACTTTCATGTAATCTTTGTTTCTAAAATCACGTATATTGCTGTGGGAGTTATAAGGGGTGGTATTCTTCCACCATAACACAAGGAAGCGTTAGAATTGTTCAGCGTAGCTACATCTTCATGGCCTCAGCTTCTGTAAACTTCATGTGCAGCCATTTATTTATCATACAATGGATATTCAGAGACCAAACCTGAGATTAGATTCCTAACTTTACAAAAGGAGGCTGGATTGACTCTTTAGCTTCTCTCTTAGATGAACCTCAAGAAAGTGCCAAAAATGAGAATGACAAATAACACATATCAAAGTTTCCTTTCTGGTAACAATCAGTTTTGTCCCATTTGATTTTTTTTTTTCTCTTCTGTTAATTGCAGAACAGTAGGAGATGGAAAAGTGTTACAAGAATCTGTGAATCAACAAGTGGACAAATGAAACTGGCAATTTTAGATTAAAAATTCCCATGTGGAAAAAAATTAAAGCCAAGAGGCACAGATTTAAATGAAGTGTTAATAAGAGCAGGATTGTTCCTAAGTAATTTTGGACAGCTACAAACTAAATTAAACAGATTTTACTTTTTATTTTTTTCCAACCTGGAAAATGGGAGGTGATTGGAAAGGGAGATTTTTACTGTAGCAGGCATTTCCCTCTTGCTATTTTGTCTTGTTTCCATTCTGTTTAATCCACCCTGGGCTGTGTCATTCCATGCCTGACAATACACATGAAGTTATTTCATTTATCATCAACATAGTCTTTTCTTCTGTGGTCCGAGGAGAAAAAAATATCTGTTTATATAATGAAACAGGGAGTGGAAAATTACAAGTCAGTTAGTTTAAGTTCATTGTTCTTTTTCAAGTTGGTGTATTCCTACCAGATTTGTCATCTTAAGGTATGCCCTGTAAGCCATGTGTGCATACATCTATATCTCCTCCAGCTGTGGAAAAGGAATTACAGTCAGAGTAATAAAGCTCAAACAAGCAAGGAATATCTAGCAGCAGTTTTTCAGTGGAGATATTTGTGGAAGCCCTAGAACTGAATGGCTTTCAAACTGAAGGATGCAAACAAGACATTGAGCCCAGCTTGAGTGCCACAGAAGGGATGGTTGGAAAGACTGAGCAGAAGAGCGATGTTCTCTCAGTCCATGACACTACCCAGAGGCCCGCTTCGGGGTGGGGTGCCTTTCTGTGTGCTCACTTAATAGCCATAGTGTTTTGGCATTGTTAGCCCTATCTGACAAATAATGCTTTGGCTTTCCAAGATGCTGAATGGGTTTTATAGGTAGGTGCACGTCCTAGAACTTAACATATCTGGAGTTACTTGTTACAGCAATTCAGTGTTGAGTATGACCACTCTTTAAAAGTGTAGACTACAGTTCAGAGACTAAAAATGTCAAAACTGCAGAAAGGCACATGTTAGATAAGTACTGTTGATTTCACAGAATCATAGAATGGTTGAGGTTGGAAGGGATCTCGGGGGGTCATCTGGTCCAACCCCTCCCTGCTCAAGCAGGGACATGCAGAGCTGGTTGCCCAGGACTGTGTCCAGACAGCTTTTGAATATCTCCAAAAATGGAGACGCCACAACCTCCCTGGGCAACCTGTGCCAGTGCTCAGTCACCCTCACAGTGAAAAAGTGTTTCCTGATGTTCAGAGGGAACCTCCTATTTGTGCCCATTGCCTCTGGTCCTGTCACTGGGCACCACTGAAAAGAGCCTGGCTCCGTCGTCTTTACACCTTCCCTTCAGGTATTTGTACACCTTGATAAGACCCACCCTGAGCCTTCTCTTCTCCAGGCTGAAAAGTCACAGCTGTCTCAGTCTTTCCTCATAGGAGAGATGTTTTAGTCCTTATTCTTCTCAAGAACTCCTAACAGCTGTTTTGTTTCCTGTTTGAATGAAAGCTGTGATTATAGATTAAATAGTCACCAGAAGAAGTGATCTTAAGCCATTAGTAGGAGTCTTTCATGGTTGATTTGGTTTAAAAAATTGATTTGTCTGTTACTCAAGAAATAACTGCTAGTATGTGAACTAACAGTTGATGTGGGAGCTCTTGAATACATTTTTTATTTGATATGGACTAGATTCTATAAGGATTTATTTCTTTCCCTTGCTTGCAGAAAGGCTTATGCCAATTATTTTCTAAAGTAACCTGCTTAGCAGCTATGCACACAGTAAATATTCCAGACAGAGATCTACCTGGGATTTTTTTTATTTGTTTGGGCTTGGAGGGGAGAGGGGGTGTGTGCTCTTTTTTTTTTTTTTTTAAAGACTGACTTAGAAAATACGCACATTTTCTTTTAATATTTGAAAAATATATTCTCAATGGTAATGTTTGCTGGAACAGCAGATGTGTAGGCTGGCATTATGGTTGATGATGATCTAAAAAAAACCACGAGGTACTGTAGTCTGGACCATAGTTCGTGTCAGAAAGGAAGTAATTGTTTAACATGCAAGTATTGGGGCAATTAGGCTTGTGTTATGCCTTTCATATGATACTTGGTGGCATGTTAATACATACAATGGGCATGTAAAACTGCTGAAATTTTCAACTGCATCTTTTCTTTCCTTTCAGATAGTAAATCTTATAGAAGAAACTGGACACTTTCATATCACAAATACAACCTTTGACTTTGATCTTTGCTCACTGGACAAAACCACAGTCCGTAAACTACAGAGTTATCTCGAAACATCTGGAACCTCCTGAGGATTCAGCATCTGGCTGCATCAAAAACTGTTCTTTAAATGAAACATTCAGAATGATGCAATCACAGTGGGGGGAAAAACTAAAACAACCCTCTTCAGCTTTATTATCCCTTAAAGCCAGTCATCATCTCTTGATAAGGGAGAGGAGAAGTGACAAGACTCAGAGGTGACAATACTCAGAGGACCTCTCTTCTCAAGAAGAAAATGCTCTGGAAGAGTTTGCCTGGGTAGCCTTGAAAAACAAACACACAAAAACAAACAAAAATACTTGGTCTTAATGAATGTGTACGGTATCATGTATCTCTCTCTGTGGTGTTCCAGTCCACAAGATGAATGCATGTTCAACACACTGCCTTATTACATAACTGATCTATTTATTATTGCATACATGTATTCTGAAGTCAATGAGTTATTGAATGACACTGCCAGATGTTGCAAGTAGTGGCGTCCCATATGTGCTCTTTCGATGCAGTACTATCACAAGCCTAGTAACCTTACTCATGTTAAAATGCCACTTCTTGCTATCTTTCTCTAGTCACTTAAAACACTACAGTCTTGTTTCCACTTCTGCAGTTCCAGTAAACAAGATACAAATTTGGGGACCAAACAGTGGTCCCTTTTTGTTTCCCGTCTGCCACACTGGGTTGGACCACACCAGGTTGGACCGCAGGTCCTTGGCTCTATCCATTTATTGATCTTGGTACAAAATGCACCAAATAGGATCATATATGACTTGCTGTCTAACCTTAGTGAATAAACCTGTAGGACTTTTAACGAAAAATGTTATGTATACTATCCTGAATCCAGCATCTTTCGCAGTCTACATTGTGTCTGTTTTAATGTTATTAAATATATATGAGTGAAGGTGTTCTGCAGGATCATCATAAAAGAAGAAATACCAGTCCTGTCTTCTAAGGAAATGTTGTAGAAAATTCTTAATTTGGAGCTATTTATTACTATGAGTTTCAACACTCCTCTGCTGCAAGTGTGTGACTCACTTTTACCATAAAACTATTTGCATAACATTTTTGTTTGTTCATATAGTAGAAGGTCTGCTTAGTTTGTTTTGGGGTTTTGTTTCTGGTCTTGTTGGGTTTTTTACAACTGCTAAATTAAAACCCTTTATTTGAAAAGAAAAAATATGTTTTTATACAGTTACATGTTAGAATAAATAAATATATGATATATCATGTATGTGTGTGTATACACATATACACACACCTGTGTATATATACACACACATGCATATATGCTTTTTACACTTTCCAGATTTTGGTATCTGTTTAATAACCTGCTTGTGTTTCCAGAAGGATTTATTGTCTATAAAAATGAGTATTCTTTCATACCTTCCATTATTCCTTAAAATCAGGATCCTTGTTTATATATGATCAAATGAGAGGATGTGTACTCAGTTTCACATCAAAGCTCCGTGCTCTCATTTTGCTGATGGTTTCTTGATTAAATCACCACCTTTCTACTAGAAGTTGAAATCCCACAAAGAAAAGAGAAAAGAATTAAAAAAATATACTTCTGGATGCAAAGGTTTATTCAGGTTTACCAGCCTTAAAAAATGTATCTTGTTTCTGGACAGGCCAGTATGTCATGTGTATGCTTATATGCTACATGTAGTCTGTATGTGTAGAACTGCACAGTAGTATCTGTATGACTTACTGTTTCATGTGCACAGTTTGTGCAGCACTGTAAAACTAAATTCCTATTGGGGTTATTTCTTATCCAGATGGTAAATCTTAATACTGTTTCTTTAAGTCCAAAGAAAATTTTACACTTTACTCTTTTTGAGAGGGCGGGATATGGATTGGGTTGGGGGGCTTTTTTCTTATTTAAAATGTTGTTTGACCACACTCTGCAGGAAGTCCTTCGCTGGCTTCCCAAGAATAAGTGTACTTTTTCAGTAATGTTATGACTCTCATTGACGATTGGCATGAAGCATACTTGAAGCGTTATGTTGTTCTTTTAAGTCCATGTCTTAATGTGCAATTGGGGGGGGTGTAAGGAGTGGAGTATAATTTTGAAGTTACTTTTGACATAAGGCAGGTGATGGTGGGGAGGGGGAAGAGGTGCATGTGAAGGGGATAAACTCCAATTTTTATTGATTATTTTATATGAAAGTGTTTGGAAATCTAAAAGCAACTTTAAAAACGTTTGGTCTACTAGTGTGTGTTCAACTTCCTATCTTTTAGTTATACCAGATACATACAGAATTTTGTCCATTTTGACTTTTCTAACTAAGTTTTGTGGTAAAAATTAATTGGGTTTCAGGAGGGGAGGTATCCCATAATACTTCTACTATGACTATTGCACTGTTTTGTTAGAAATGGTGAAATGAATAATTTTACCCTTAAAATACCAGATAAGCTTTATTATACACTGAGAACAAGGGTGGAAGAAAACAGCAAATAGGAGAATAGGCATAAAAGGGAGATGACAGCAATTACAGTATCAAGTTAGTGCTGAATTTCATGCAAATTGTGGATCATCCTTAAGCTCTTAAATTTTCTAATTCAATGGGAGAGGGAAGAAAATAGACTGCAGTTGTCTGTGTGTGTTGACTTTTTCACAAAATTCTGATAGAATAAGAGTTGCTAAGTGTTGATCTAAATTTAAAAAAATAGCTATTTTCATCTAATTTTGTATGCAGAAACAAAATAAATCCTTGTTCACTTAATTTCAGACATTCATATTTCTCTTAAAGAAAAAATAGTAAGATACCCTTCCAAGTCTTTAACATATATGAGCATTGATCTTTGGGAATGGTTAAGTGTTTTGGCAATAAATATTTTGGAGTTTTACTTAACATCAAGCTGTTGAAAACAAAGTTATATGTGAGAATTTGGATTAACTCATTGAGGTGACCAGACAGAGGTTAGCAGTAAGTTGCAATATGTAAAAAATCATTTTCAACATAGTTGAGTCACTGTTACTAGAACAGTAGTTGTATCCAATAATAAGGACAGTTTTCATCTCGCCACTAACTTTTCACCTCAGAAAGTGGATGTCCAAGTGGGTAGACAAGTTTTAACATCTTTTTAGAAGTTTGAATCCACTGAGAGGCTTTACAAAAATTACAATATCGTCTAGATTTGAAGGCCATCTTAGACCATGCTAAAGAGAAAGAGCAAGAAAGGAAGAATGGGCATACACTGAAGTGAGGGGAGTCTTCCAAGGTAAAACAAAACCCATACTCAGTCTTCAGCGTTTGGATCATAAGAAATGGTTGATCATTTCTCTCTCTCTTCTTTTCATTGGTTGGGTGTTTTTAGGTTAAGTCTATGCTCTCAATTTCAGAAGCAGAGTACACACAGTACAGCGCATCTGGAAAGCCCACGATATTTCTATTGAAGTTTCTTTTAGTCTGGGGGAAGGAAATTACAAGTTCTTGGGTTTTGCCTGACCCATTGTCCTTGTTTCCCATTCTCACAGTGAAATAAAGTATGTTCACAATCTGGTTTGGGTCTTTACCTGGTAAGTATCATCTTGTTTTCTTAGAAGCTATTCTGGTGTTTTGGGGTCTCTTGAATGACCCATTGATTTCAAGCCCCATTACTTAATTTGTCAAATTAATGGGAAAGCTGTAGAACGGTCCGAAGAGAAAACTGCCCTGTTCAGTTGTATGCATTATCTTACTCCAGACACTGCTCTGATGGTCGAATGTTTGATTTGCTTCATGCTGTCTTTGTTCATACACATCATATCCCATCCTTTACCACTTGCTGTTTAATGGCAAACTGTATTTTTTAGTAAACTCTTGTTTCAGTCTATAGGACTTGTTATTTTTGTGTTTGCTCATTGGTCCATTGACTTGCATAGTTTGCTGTAGTGCAATGCACTGAAATTGAGACTTCTGGTGAAAATTTTGTCGCACTTTCAGCCATAGCAGGAGCTAGCAGGAACTGCGAAAATAAGCAGTGCAAAACGTGTTTTGTATGAGCCTCAATAGTTTTCTTAATTGTTAAGCAGTATATGGTAGAATGTAGTGTAGACCAGGAAGCTATTCTGTATACTGTACCGACAAGCTTTACTGTTGGGCATAAAAGGCTTACGAACAGATGATGGGGACTAAAACTCATATATCTGCAGTGCTTTTGTGTGTGCTTGGGAGTTAATCAGTGCATTAACACAGCTAAACCAATGACATTTACAAGGCTGGCTCTGTGTCTGAGCGAGCAGATAAATTAACATCAAAGCACAATCACATAAGGGCCTTGCATTTACTTGAGCAGCAAGAAATGCCACTGTGACTAGACAGGAAAGAGAAGTAGTACCACAGTGAGAACAATACTCTTCGGGGGGCAGGGGGGCCTGGGAAAAAAAGAAGAAGAAAAAAAAAAAATCCCTTAGTAGCTGGATGCGGTTCCTTACGTTAACATAGAGAATACAGTTTGCTGGTCAGCAGTTCTGTCTGCTGTAAGATGACAGGGTGATAGCTTGCAGAGTGGCAGCTTCTTTAGTTTACTGCTGTAATAATTATGTTGTTGCTGACCTGATGAGAGAGAGATGTATTGCAGCCTCATACAAAAATCTAAGCTGTCTTATGGTTTGAGATGCTAATGTCTGTTTAATATTTGTTTGAATTTTGCATCTTATTTATATTCTATATTTTAGCTCAGCCAGATTGACTCTACTGCAAAGTGATAATCTTGCATTTTTCATTCTTCATTTACTTTTAATTTTTCCAGTCTGGAAATTTCAGCAAAGTCAAATGTAGGTCTGTGAATACAGCAGAACATGTATTTTCATCATCATTCAGTATAATTTTGACTGGAAGTAACCCCTTCCTGAATGTTACATCAAAAGGGACATGCATTTTCCTATGTTCCTTCAGAGAACTGATGCTATAAAGTTTACGAATGGAATTTCCATTCGTAAACTTTACCCTTTTCATCACAGTGAGGAATAAATGGTTACCTCTTATCATTGCTCACAGGGAGACAGAATTCAAGGTCTGGGTCCTGGTTAGGAAATAGTAGGTTTGTGAAGCTGTCAGTTATATCTTTTTAGTAAGACCTAGAAATAAAGCCTATCTCTTTAGGGGAGGAAAAGAAGGGGAGGAAAAATCCACT